AAGGGAAAAAAAAAAAAAAAAAAAAAAAAAAAAAAAAAAAAACCATATGCTTTGAGTGTTCGCGCGACCTACTGTGACCACGCGTAAGGGTTAAACAGATTGTGCGTTTGAGGAAAGAGGGAGAACCTCTTTTATCTTTTGTTTTTTAGAATTTCTATGGTTGGGCATTATAGTCTGTGGCAGCCATCAAAGTCAAACCCCTTGACGTTTTGCCAGGCCCTAGATAATGAAACTGGTCCCCAGGGCAATAAGAGACGACTGCCACCACAGGTATACACCTGTGTACCACCCACTCTCCGCAGGGTGCAGAAGAGGGTGTGGTTCTCAACCGCACGTAGCGGTTGTTTAGCGTCGAGAGATCAACCCCTCAAGGTGCGTGTCAGCCGACACTTGAGTGTCGAATGCGGCCCTCGAAATCCACGAGGGACCGCTTGAGTATGGGTACTACATAGTACGCCATCATTGCGACTGCTTGCGTATGCTTGCATTGCGAGTTTATATGAGTTAGCCCTGCGTCCGCGCGGTTTTATACTAAAGACTTGCGCGCGACGCCTATCCGATTTCCGCATCGGAAAGTTATGGGATGGCTACTAAGGGACTAGGAGAGTTGTCGCGTTGTTTGTTCTATTTTATTTTGTGTATATATGTGTGTATTTATTTTTATGTTCTTTAAAGTGGTGTGCGCGTGGTGTGTGGGATGCGTCCTAGCCGACCGATGACGAGTCACACTTGGGACCTCAGCCCCCCAAGGCGTCGGTTCGCGTGTGGGTCCGATAGAGGCGTAAAGCCACGCATACCCCCTATGCCACAACGAACGAGAAACGCCCTTGGCTGATCCACCTCTGCGATTGCAGCTGATTAGCTTTCGTATTGTGGACTAGTAGCTCGGCGGGGATACGCCCACCGAAGGGAAGTGACAACTCCCGTAAGGTGGAGGTAAGCCGTGCCTCGTGTAGGCCCTATTCTGTCGTAGGGTCTCGCGAGAGGTATGGCTGGCGCACTTGGCCAGAGCGGCTTGCGAAAGCTCCATGTATATTCGCGATGAGGATTAAGACCAACTCCTACGTGACACAGCCGGGAGGGTCCCGTGCTGCCTTGTGCGGTGCCCGACCGATGCGCTCGACAGCGATAGCAGGCTTGTCCGCCTTCACTTTGTGGGGTACCGATTGCCTTGCCTGCCGAGAAACCTGTTGTCGGGTTTTGGTGTTTTGTTACCACCGTGCCTCGGTTCTAAGGCGGCGTGTCCATGGCGGGTGGGTCCTTCCTTCGATTCGCCCTAGTTGTTCGCCATACGGTGCGCCAGTTCTCTTCGTCCGGAAGAAGAACAAGGACTTGCGACTGCGCATTGACTATCGAAAACTTAACGCACAAACCGTTAAGAACGCCGACCCTCTCCCTCGGATTGATGATCTCCTCGAGCGGTTGGACGGCGCGACGTACTTCTCGAAGTTGGGCTTGAAGTAGTGTTACCACCAGATTGAAATTCAGCCTCAAGATCGATACAAGACCGCCTTCAAAACGTGGTATGGGCATTTTGAGTGGGTCGTGATGCCATTTGGACTCACCAATGCCCCGACAACCTTCCAAGCAGCCCTGACAACGGAATTCCGAGACTTGCTCGATCGTTCCGTCCTCATCTACCTCGATGATATCTTGGTCTATAGTAGGACGCTTGACGAGCACCTCATACACCTTTGTGTGGTGTTGGATCGTTTGCGAGCAGCCAAGTACAAAGCAAATCGCGACACGTGCGAATTCGCCAGGCAAGAGCTTGAGTCCTTGGGCCATTATGTGACGCCGAAAGGCATTCGTCCCTTAGCGGACAAGATCCAAGCCATCGTGGATTGGCCGGAACCCCGTTGCACGACGGACGTACGCTCTTTCATGGGGTTGGTTGGATACTATCAGCGCTTCGTCGAGTCTTATTCCAAAGTGGCAGCTCCTTTGTCGAGACTTCAGTCCCCGAAGGTACCATTCGAGTTCGACGACGCAGACCGTGGCGCATTCAATACGTTGAAGGCGGCGATGCAAGACGCATCAGCCCTCCGTATCTATGATCCCACCCTACCCACCCAAGTGACTACGGATGCTTCCGGGTACGGTATTGGTGCGGTATTGGAACAATGCCACACGGATGGTTGGCACCCGGTCGAGTGCCTCCCATCAACACTCTCGACGATGCAAGGAAGAAAGAGCTACTCGCGTTCGTCACCGTTCTCAAACGGTCGTCGGCGTTTTAGATGGAACACGGACAACAATCCGTTGCTCTTCTACAAAACGCAGGACACTGTCACTAGCACGATCGGTCGATGGATGTATTACATCGACCAGTTCGACTTTGAGTCGTGCCACATTCCCAGTCCCGCCAATCGAGGAGCGGACGCCCTCTCACGACGGCCCGATCTTTGTGCCCTTGTGACCACGACGTTCGACCTCGACGACGATCTGCAGCAGCATTTCGTCAACGGCTACAAGTCTGATCTGACTCTATGCTTTATGCGGACCTATCATCGGATCACCCGCTGGCTGGTCATTATCGTATCTCCGACGGCTTCCTACTCCTTCACACGAGAGGGAAGGACTTGTTAGTGGTGCCCCAAGATTGCATCTTACGGACTCGTCTTCCCGGCGAATTCCACGACGCACGACTTTCGGCACATCTTGGCGTGAACCGCACATTGGCTCGCCTCCGCCAGCGTTTTCACTGGCCCGATGTCCTTCACGACGTCACGAGGTACATTGAGTCATGCCAGTTTGCCATCGTAACAAAGGTCGATCTACGGTCCCTTATGGCGAACTGAAACCGATGCCGATTCCTCGGGCACCTCGCCTATCCATTGCTATGGATGTTACAGGCCCGTTCCCCCGCGATCGCCTCGGCCATGACGACATTCTCACGGTCGTTGACCGTTTGAGCAAGTACGCTCGTTTTCTTCCATGCAAGTATTGTGCTACAGCTCCCGAGCTCGCTCGACTCTTGCACACCGGCTGGATTACTACCCATGGTGTTCCGGAAGATACTGTGAGCAACAGAGACACTCGCTTCATGTCTGCATTTTGGACTTCCCTCATGACGGAGTCCGGTTCGAATATGAAGCCGAGTTCCGCACGGCACCCGCAGACGGAAGGACAGTCGGAACGAGCGCATTAAACCGCTCAAATGATGTTACGTACACTCATCTATCCCGACCAGAAAGATTGGGTTGACCGGCTTCCCGACATCGACTTCGCTTATAACACTTCGGTGCACCCAATGATCTGCATCACTCCATTCGAGTTGCATCAGGGTGGAGAGAAAGCCCGAGTCTTTGCCGATCTTCTTCTACCACGGGCCGCCGACATAGACGTCACTTGCTCTCCCGCTTCCGTTCGGAAGTATCGGGACTTGCTGATCAAAGCCCGCGCAAACATGCAAAAGGCTCAAGTCCGCATGCAGCAGCAAGCTAACCAACGTCGACTCCCATGTCCTTTTCGCGAGGGAGACCTTGTTTGGGTCCTCGCTGAGGAATTCGCGCTCGAGCAGGACGTCTTGCGCAAAATCCTCCCGAAATGGTTTGGACCATGGAAGGTAACTTCTGCAGCAGGCGACGACCCTGCAGGTCCTTCCTTTGTGATTGCCATCCCCCCACACCTCCGTGTGCACCCGGTCTTCTATGCGTCGAAGCTGGCCATCTACACGCCACCTTCCGAGGCTGAGTTTCCAGGCCGACGATCACAAGATCCGCCTTCTATGGACGGACACCAGGAAGTTGACCGCGTCATCAGGCACCGCAAGTTTGGCAACAAGCCAATGTAGTACCAAGTCACTTTCAAGCAATGTGACCCCGATGACACTCGTTGGATCTCCCGCGCAGACTTACAGGCATCTGCACCACTCATCTTCTCCGACTACGAGAGCCGGAGACTTGCCAAGGACAAAGTTCGTCCCTCCCGACCCACCCTAGTATCGGACAAACAACTTCGCCTTCGCAGGTAGCTTGGTCTTTTAAGGGGGGGAGTGTGTTACAGTCTGCGACTTCACACGGGCCTCCACAGGCCCTACACACCGGTTCAGGGGGACCCAGGCCAGCCTAGCGAAAGGCCAGGCCTTTTTCCTCCCAGTAGGCCCTATTAGGCCACCGGTTGGACCTCGGGATCAGCAGGCCCAGGTCTGGCCCAAACGACAAACCGTTTGGGCCTGGCGGCGCTCTTGAGGCTGCCGCCCGCCGGTCTGGGCTGAACAGCTATTTTCGACGGTTCAGCCCACGGCGCAGCAGGCCAGCATTAAGGCCGAACGGCCGCCGGCCGGTCCTTAGGCCGGTCCAGCGGCCATTCCTGGAGGTTGGAACGAGGGAGCAGCGAGAGGCAGCGCTGCGCTATTTCAGTTTAGCGCAGCACCAGGAGCAGCAACGCTAGGTTAGTGCTAGGCTGCAGTTAGGGGTAGAGAGGGAGTGAGATACTTACCTGGTACTTACCTCTGGCGCCATAGCTTCAGCGGGGTTCGACTCTAGAAGGCTTCAAGGCGCCATCTTGCATCCTGCAGGTAAGGCTTAGGACAGGACAGGGCAGTGAGGATTCTCCTCCTCCCTACCTCGCCATCTCTCCCTCCTCCGCTATCTCCATCCTCCTCTACTCCATCTCCATCTTCTTCTTCAGACTTCTTCATCTTCTTCTTCAGACTTCTTCTTCTTCTCCTTCATACCTTTTCCTCTTCTTCTTCAGATTGGAGACTTGATACGAGTTGGATAGAGATCAATGTTGGACTTCGGTGGTAAGAGGCTGTGATACTTACCGGATTCGAGACTTGGAGATTGTTGGGGTTGATACTCGGCGACATCACAGATTGGACACCGGTTACACTAGGACTCGGTACCTTCGACATTGGGGACTTATTGTCCACGACATTTTGAGCTTGTTCGATGACATTTTGAACTACCATATCGGCGACCTACTGAATTCTATCTCGGTGACATCTGGCGCTGCCTACATCTCCCACCTCCTTCGTCTCTCCTCCCACCTCTCATCTGTGTATGGGTGTACGGGGCCTGTGCATCGTCTATGATTGGCTCAGACCCCGCCATCTCACGATTGCTTGTGTGTTGAGTGATATCTGTATAAATTCAGTCTATGTGAGTCAGTCCATTTATCAGACTTCCGCTGCATACATGCTCACCCTATATTGGTTGATCTTTGGTTCTGCTCATACTTGTTGAAGTATTCACTAATCTGCAACACCTCCCCACCTACATTGTTTCCCCCTCTGGTCTTACCTTCTCTATCTGTCTCCGGGTACCCCCTGCGGCGACATTGGTAAGTTGCCACATTAGCAGGCCACGTCAGCAGGCCACGTCAGCCGACAGCAGTGCCACATCAGAAGCAAGGAGTACCACGTCAGGAGGCCACCGGCCTGGTTTATGCTCACGGGCACGCAAACAACCGTCATGGATCAGAAGTCTGGGGAAACGAACGAGGCCTATCAGGCCCAGATGCTGCTTCTGATTACCGAAGCTAAGCAACGGTCATATGCAGTAGCAGCCGCATCAAAGAAGAAGGCAGAGGACGCCAAGGCACGTCTGTTGGCAATTGAACAGCAACGCCAACAAGACGCGGCAGCAGCAAAGGCTGCCAATGACAAAACGACTTCAACGACGCGAGAAGATATTCAGCGGAGAGTGAGCTTTGCTCACAATGGCAGCAGACTGGCGGGCCAAGGCCGAGAATGGAAAGTTGGAAGAGAGTGGAAACAAGATCGCTCTACTCCTCTCCCATCTCACGGACCTCCTGGCCACGTGCATTGCACAGCAGGAGGACATTCACAACCTCGACGAAGCAGTTCAGACGCACAATCAGGTGTTTGACCAAGTCACCAGCCGCCTCCAGCAGCTGGAACAGACCGTTGCCGCCTCCGTTGCCAGCTCTTCCAACACTTTCGTTCGCCTCGAGGCATTGGAGATTGACGTCGGATACCTCAAGGACGGCGTGCAGTTACAGCAAACTGCAACGCAACAGTTGGAGCAGCGGATCTGTACTGCTGCCACCCACTCAAGCTCGGAACCGCGCGAGACAACTCCAAGGTTTGATGATCAGGAAGTCTTCTGCGACTCGACCAAGACGGACCCAATTCCATGGTTCCACAAGTTCGAGCTCAAGTTGCAGCTCCACCACATCAGCGAACACAAGCACCACGCATACTTATACTCCCGGTTGGGGGGCGCGTGCCAAGCGTGGTTGGACAATCTCTTGTCCAAGTACGGAGTGGTAGTTGTCAACTTGCATACCAAGATCAGTTGGGATGATCTAAAGGCGGCGTGGCATAGGCGGTTCCAAGTAGAGCCGCCGAAGATAAAGGCAATGAACAAGCTGATGGTCTTCGAACAAGGCACGCTGCCAAGTGTTGACTGGATCGCCAAGTACCAACGCTTGACATCTATCCCAGACATTCAAATGGGCTTCAAAGCCATCAAACACTACTTCATCTCAAGGTCGTCTCCGGCGTTGAGCAATGCCTTACCTCACGTCAAGGACACTTTGACGACACCGGCAGAGCTCTTCGACATGCCGCACAGATTATTGTCATGAACAAGGAGGCTAAGAACCTCCACCGTTCGTCTCCGACTCGCCCGAGCAGAGATCACCATTGGCCGAAAGTGGCCATGGTCCCGGCGGCAACGCCAATCGACCAAAGTAGCGAGGCCGTGTCTGCCAATGAAGGGGACGGACTCGCAGCCGCCCGGGATGGTGGCCGCCCCGGCAAAGGCTGAGGACGCGGCAAGACGAAGACAAACACCGCATCTAGCCCCGGGCCCGGCGCAACAGCTCCAGCCCCATGGTCCCAATACGGTCTCTCCGAGCAAGCATACAAGGCACGCACGAGATTCCGCTATTGTCTGTGGTGTAACAGCGATCTCCACGAGACAATGGGCTGCCCGTCAAAAGGCAAAGGCAAATCGGGAAATTGAGCACCGCCGGGAATAAGCCGGCGACACTCTCAACGCCTTCGGAACCAGTCACTTTGCGGGTGACCGCCCTTCGTTTCGAGGCACATGCGGAAGTCGAGAATCCTCTTCTTTATTCTCTTGAGGACTATGCTGCCCGGCTCGTTCCTGCGCTGGGTACTCATGCTCAAAGACAAGACGTGTGTGCGGCATCTTCTCCGTCCGGCAGCGGCAACTTATCGTCTTCAAGTGGTTCTTCATGGGATTCGGCGCGCGAGTTCAACATAGAGGTATTGGACCCGCTCACGTTCGAGGATTTCGCATGGCTTCCTCTCCCGACCACGGGCCGCTTGCCAGGACCGCAATGCGCAGCATTATGCGCTCATCTTCACACGTAATTATCTTTCTATGCACCACCAACTTCGCCGACGGATGACGAAGTCGCCGTGGGGGACATCCTTGCATATGTTACCAAGATGGCCCGCGAGTTTCGCAATCAGCGGTACGACGACAACAACGCACCGCTCCTCTATTTCCGCATCCAAGTTGGGCAAGCGTCCTCCAGCGCTTTGCTGGATAGCGGCGAGTCTCGCAATTTTATGAGCCAAGCTTTTATGCAAAGGGCTGGCCTTGGCGCACAAGTTCAGAGGAAGGCAAACCCGGCGGCGATCAAGTTGGCGGACGGAAGGACGCAGCAACTTATCGACCGCTGCATCGAGGCCTTACCGGTGTATTTCGCACATCATGCACGCGAACCGGACACAGACTTCGACATTATTTTGGGAATGCCTTGGCTTGCAAGTGCGGATCACACGGTCAACTTCCACCGGCGGACTCTTACCGTTCCCGACGCTTTCGGCGCTGAAGTACCGTGTACTATTCCTCTTCCGCACCGTTCGATTCCGTGCCCAGTGGTGACCGCAAAGTCATTCCGAGGCAACCTGACGAAATCGGCCTACGTTTCCTACGGACCGTCGCGATAGCCGACTCTTCACCCACGGACTTGTCTTCGGACCCCCGTATGGTGCGGTTGCTTGACGAGTTCGCCGACATCTTCGAGTCACCTACCGGTGTGGTGCCAGATCGGTCGATCTCTCACGAGATCATTCTTGAGGCCGGTGCTGTGCTGCCAAAAGGTTGCATTTATCGCATGAGCGAAGAGGAGCTTACGGTCCTCCGCGCGCAGCTCGATGACTTGTTGGACAAGGGCTGGATCCGCCCTAGTAGCTCGCTATATGGAGCGCCAGTTCTCTTCGTACGGAAGAAGAACAAGGATCTACGATTGTGCATCGACTACCGCAAGCTCAATGCGCAAACCGTCAAGAATGCGGGGCCTCTTCCTCGTATCGACGATCTTCTTGAGCGATTGGGCGGCGTGGAATATTTTTCTAAGTTGGATTTGAAGTCAGGATATCATCAAATCTCGATCCGACCGAACGACCGCTACAAATCCATGTTCAAGACGCGGTATGGGCATTTTGAATGGGTGTTCATGCCTTTCAGCCTCACCAACGCCCCGACGACCTTTCAAGCGGCAATGACCAACGAGTTCCGTGCAATGTTGGACCGGTTCATGCTGGTCTACTTAGACGATATTCTCGTCTATAGCCTGACATTGGAGGATCATCTTGGGAACCTTCGACAAGTGTTAGAGACGCTCTGCCGTGCCAAGTACAAGACCAACCGCGACAAGTGCGAATTTGTCAAGCAAGAGTTGGAATACTTGGGCCATTTTGTCACACCGGAGGGCATCAGTCTGCTATCGGACAAGATTCAAGCCATCCAAGAGTGGCCGGAGCCGCAGAACGTCACGGATGTCCGTTCGTTCCTTGGCCTTGCCGGCTACTACCAACGTTTTATCAAGGGATACTTGAAGATTGCGGCCCACTTGTCCAAGCTTCAATGCGAAGATCGGTCGTTTGACTTCGGGGAGGATGTGCGGGAATCATTTTTGGCTCTGAAAGCCGCGCTATTATCTCTGGAGGTCTTGCGAATCTACGACCCTCTCTTGCCAACGCGCGTCACTACGGATGCGTCCGGCTATGGCATTGGTGTCGTCCTCGAGCAACACGAGGATGTGACCCGGCACCCGGTCGAGTACTTCAACAAGAAAGTGCCCGCCGTGCATTCTATTGATGATGCACGCAAGAAGGAGCTCCTCACCTTCGTCCACGAGCTCAAGCGGTGGCGGCACTTCCTCCTTGGTCGAAGTTAATTCCGATGGGTAATGGACAACAATCCATTGGTCTTTTACAAGACCCAAGACACCGTCAACAGCACCCCGTTGGTCTTTTACAAGACCCAACACACCGTCAACAGCACCATCGCCCGATGGATGGGCTGTCATCGACCAGTTCGACTTCTTTCCCGATCACATTCCGGGGAAGTCGAACCGTTTTGCGGATGCTCTTTAACGGCGTCCGGATCATTGTACTGCGGTCTATTCAACCTTTGAGAACGACGACGACCTGCGGGACAGCTTCATCCCCGGCTACCAAGCCGACCCCGAGTGTCGCGACAAGTATGCGAATTGCTCCTCTCCCAATCCGGTACCTTCTCACTACCGGATCCAAGAGGGGTACTTGCTTGTCCACGCACGGGGGAAGTACCTTCTTTGCGTACCGAGTGACCCTCACTTGCGTCCACGGCTTCTTGGCAAGTTCCACGATGCTCCCGCCGCCGGACACTTTAGATCGATCGCACGAGTCATGCCAAGTTTGCCGACGATTTTTTGGTGGCCCGGCCTTCTCGGCGACGTCACACGCTATTGCGAGTCATGCGAGGTTTGCCGACGCTGCCAATCCCGCAACCATCGTTTGTACGACAAGTTGCGACCATTACCGGTCCCCTTGTGGCGAAGGGAAGCGATTGCCATGGACATTACCGGCTCGTTCCCCAAGCACAAGACCGGAGTGGATGGGATTCTCACGGTGGTCGACCGACTCACCAAGTTCGCCATGTTTTTGCCTTGCCGCTATCATGCCAAGGCACCAGAGTTGGCTGAGGTTCTTTATGCCAGTTGGATTCGAACCAAGGGTTACCCCAAGGAAATCGTCTGCAACCGTGACACTCGGTTTATGTCCGTTTTTTGGTTGGCGCTCATCAAACGATGGGGCTCATCTCTCAAGCCAAGCTCGGCTCCCCACCCCCAAACCGATGGCCAAACGGAGAGGGCGCATCAGACCGCACAGGTTCTCCTTCGCACTCTCATCCGTCCCGACCAAAAGGATTGAGTTGAGTGGCTGCCGAATGTCGAGTTGGCATACAACTCGTCCATTCGCCCGGCTATCGCGATGTTACCCTTCGAGTTCGAGCACGGCTCGCCGGTCACTTCGTCGTTGGACACAATCATTCCACGAACGGCCTAGAGCGACAACCATCTTCTTTTCTTGCGTTGAATGCAAGAGCTACTTGTCAAGGCACGCGACCAGATGGCTAAAACACAGCAACGCATGAGCCAACAGGCCAATCGCTAGCGTCTTCCTTGCCCATTCCGCGCCGGCGATCTCCTTTGGGTTTCCGCCGCGGAATTCAGCCTTGAACAAGACATCTCTCGCAAGCTCCTCCTGAAATGGATGGGGCCTTGGCCGATCGTGGCACCCGCTGGGGATGCACCCGAAGGACCTTCCTTCACCATTCAAGTGCCCACCCACTTGCCCATCTACCCGGTCTTTCATTGCTCCAAGTTGGCTCTTTACACGCCAGCGGAACATGACGATTTTCCTGGGCGACGATCACAAGACCCACCCTCTATGGATGGTTTTCAAGAGGTCGACGACATCATCTCCCAACGACGCTACGACAACAGGCCAACCGAGTACTTGGTACACTTTGCGTACTGCAGTCACAGAGCTGACCGTTGGATGACCCGTGCGGAACTCCAAGCAACAGCTCTAGATGTTTTCGCACGCTACGAACGCAAGATGCAAGGCAAGCCGGTATCTTCGGCTCCACGTTGCACCCGCATCCACGTTCCACCTTCAGATCGTCAGCGCCGCCCTCGCCCCGGCTTGACTTCATAAGGAGGGGGGGTGTTACATGCTGCGCCTGCAACAGGCTGCACGGGCCCCCTTTCAGGCCCGTGACGTTTTCAGGCCAAAAGCCTGAAAACAAGGGCCTACAAGGCCCGTGTCGTTTCAGCCTGAAAGCCTGAAAACAAGGGCCTACAGGCCCTGTGTTGTTTCAGGCTAAATTCAGCCAGAAACTGAGGGCCATTTTCAGGCCCTCATCAGTTCGACCCGCCCTGAAACTCAGGCAACAAACGAGGGTTTTAGCACAGGCCGTTTCAGGCCTGTTTTCAAGACAACCCCTGGTTGAGCTTCAACGCCAGGGTCTGGCACGTTTCGACATTGGCAAGAGCAGCCTCCTGGACGGGCCAGCACTATATAGGACTGGCCCGCCCTGCAGGTTGGCAGGTAGTTCCTAGGTACTTCCCAGGCACTTCCCGTGCAGTTCAGGAGGCAGGAGGTAGTCTTCAGGATTCGGCAGCAGCACTCTGGAGGAGCGCTGCAGGAGTAGTTGTAGCGTTAGCAGTACTCTTCAGCGCTGGGCGCTAGTAGCGTTAGCAGTAGTCTTCAGCGCTGGGCGCCATAGGAGCTAGAGCACTACTAGAGAGAGAGAGACTGGGCGGAGGCCAGGGAGACTTACCTGCAGCACCATAGCTCCAGCTTCGTGTTCGAGGTACCTGCAGCACAGCGCCAACTTCACAGGTTAGTACCTGGCACGTGAGAGAGAGAGAGAGAGTTCTTCTTCTTCCTCTTCTCAGTCCACCATCTCCCTCTCACCCTCTCGCTACCTGACTTCACTGCATCAGCAGACTACAAGAGAGAGAGAGCTCGGTGACATTTGGATCCAGACTCGATGTTGGGCTTCAGACATGTTGACGAGGGACTATTTGGGACTTGAAACGAAGACTTGGTGTTGACGACTTTCCCATATCCCCCCTCCTCTTCATCTGTTCCCCTCCTCTTTGTCTGTGCATGATCAGGACCTGGCGCATTCTTCCTATGTGTAGCGCCAGGCCTCCTTCACACCTTGTGATGAAGATGATGTATGTTTAGTCTGCATTGATTGGGTTCGGCATTGGTATTATAGCATCTTGTACTACGTGAGAGAGGTCGGTCCCGGTCAGGTCAGGACTTGTATCTAAGTCTTCCCCTGCGCTATAAAGAACCATCTTTGTATGTACCAGAATGTACATGGCTTGTTGAGATTCTAATTGCACTGCATTGTCCATTCAGTCCTTTTCATCACATTGCGGATCCGCGGTTCTGTATGTACATTGCCCAACTGGGCATGTAACACACACACACAAAAAAAAAAAAGTGTGGCAGTGCATATTTCCATGTTCTGGCTGACGATTGATTCCGATTTTGCTCATCCTACACACACACACACACACACACACACACAAAATGGGATTGAATCTTTTCCTCAAAACATGGAAGTATCCACTGCCACAACATGGAAATATAGACTGCCAGTGTATATTTCCATCTAGCGACAGATTCATTCCCATTTTGCTCATCCTATGGATGGAAAACTCTCTCTCTCTCTCTCTCTCTCTCTCTCTCTCTCTCTCTCTCTCTCTCTCTCTCTAGTGCGCGCGCGTGCGGGGGGCGACATTTGCATTCGACAGCTCCTTAGTCCATACTCACACCGGGATTTCTTTTCAATGTATCTGTCCGTCGCGGTGTATCTTCCTATGTTCTTGCAGAAGATTCCTTCTCATTTTGCACATTGCCAGCCTGCTCAGTTAATGCACACATGAAACTGTTGAATTGCAGACATGAGTTCAAATCCAGCGGCGATCACAATAAAATAGTTCTGATTTACAAAGGATCCAACGCCGTGTTCATGCCTTGGCCGACGCCCCCCCAAATGCTCTGTATCCCTCGTGTTCTAAAACAAACACCCTCAATGTCGCCCGGGCCAGATAATGGCCGCGCCTGGGGTGGGCCTGGTGCTGGGCCACGGCTTCCCCACGGCGGGTTCACTTGTACTAATAAATAAATTTCATGTGTGACAGCCGTGCCCTGCGCCTATAAAACTAGGCAGGAAGGTGCAACACCGGTGCTGCGGGGGTGGGATTCGTGCTAAACGGGGAAGTTTACATGCTGTACAGGGGACGTTTAGCCTACGTGATGGACATGGTGATCTACGATGTGATGGAAATTGCGGAACCATATGGGATCTTCTTACCTAGAGAATTAAAGGGATGGGGTTGGCCCGTCTCTTGGGGCAACCTTTGACAAATGTCCTACCCAGGCGAGTACAGGGATCTGGAATGGGATACCCACCCTTAAAGAAGAGAGAAATGGCAAAAATGGGTTGGGGCCCCGAAAAGAGTAAGGGGCATATAGGAAATGAAATTGATATTGGACACTGGAAAAGACATTGTTCGAAGGGTCGGTTGGCCCGGTTGTTCATTGAAGGAATTCTTCTCAAGTTTGCCTGTGCATGATAAAGACCTGCCTTAGGAAGCGCTAAAACAGATCAGAGCCGACCCCACATGAAAGACGCATCTCCTAATGGGAGGAAAAACAACGAAAAACGTGTTACGTTAGGGGGTCAGATAGGTCATCCTTATGATGTGAGGGGGCTAGCCTCCTCATGAGGGCCATGATTATAAGCTGAGAGATGGATTCAACCGTGCACAAGGACCATGACCGTTGCACATAGGAAACAGATAGTAAGAATAAGAGGGAAAGAGGGGCACCCTAGGGGTCGGAAGAGTTCCTCAATAAAACTCCCTGGACTACTTGGGTACTGGAAGGAGCAATTGCCTTAGAATCAATCGAAGATTGAGAAAACGTCAAAACTTTCTGGACAGAGACCTAAGTTACACCCCCCACATCTGAACAAGTGAGCTCATTGTACGCTCGATAACTCATGACCCATCCCCATCTGTACCAAAGCACAAGGTAGAGCCCCGAGACAAAAAACCCTCTTTGGAGCAGCTTGAGCTAGGCCTGCGGTCAGCGGTCCCAACTTTCCTCTATCTGGGCAGGGCCCTACAACACTCCAATAGCAGAAACATCATCCATATCAGGCGCTCTAAATGGGACAGCGATGGCTGCAGATGGCTGGAATATCAGCCACTCAAATGCGACAGCAATCGCTGGCACCTGCAGCTGGCACATTGTATGCAAAGCCTCCAGTCTGCGTGTGTGGAGTCAATCTGCTCACCCTTGTGTTCATATGACTTCGTTGGTACAAGTGAACTGAGAGTTGGAATGAACTTTCATCCGTTAAAATTGGAACGATACGGAGGATATTAGCCTGGCCCCTATGCAAGGATGGCACACATATATCGAGAAATGGTCCATTTTTTGTGAACTTCCATTGAATGATGTGTGTGAACTTTGAAGTCAATCTTGACATTTTTGTGGAGATGTGACTTCGCTTTCATGTTGAATTGAACTAACAGTTCACATCGCCCTTGTTAAAATGGCAGCTAAAATTATTGAAACAGCGAGAGAAAATGAAAGGCAATTAAATAGGACTTATGTCCAGCCCTACTTGGCAAGGGCCTCCCATCCTCGACACAGTCAAACCCAGTATCACAACAATGGACTCTGGTCAGTCTGGATACCTGTCCAGATGTCCAGATCGCAACCACGCCTTAAAGCCTAAACATAAAACCGCCACTACCTCTTCCAGGCAAACTTTTACGACGAAGTTGACCACCAGCGCATTATTCGGGGGCTCAGCCTCCCAAAAGAAAAAAAAACAGAGAGCCGTGCTGGTTCGTTTTGGACTTGGTGAACAGCAGAAATCCAGGACGTGATTGGGTCTGCTTTAGTTTGATTTTCTTTTCAATCTTGTTTTCTTTATCTTCAATTCAAATAGAATAATGAGGTGACCCCAGCCATGATTGAAAACTGACAACCCCAATGAGAATGTAGTAGAGGGGCCTTTTTTCCCCTCCTCTCTTTCCTCCTTTTTTTGTGCAGGGGCCATGCTAATCATCTGTGCATCATTCCAAGTTTCCAAATTGCGCCTAGAAGAACTTTCCAAAAGCACTTAAAACACCCCAGCCGTAAGTTGTTTGTATTGCATGTGATGACCCGACCAAACATGGACTGAAACACACGGCTGAGTTCTGAGTTTTGCCATAGACTGAATGCCTTGCTGAGTTTCCCGCTTGCTACTAAGTTCTCTAAGTCTGTGTACGTGCACGCTCGCTGGACTGCATGTCTGTCTGAGTGCTCGTTGGCTTGAATGAGTGTGTGGACCGCAAGGGCACTTGTTCGTTCGTTGGGTCCTCAGGGCCGGTACTTACCGTGGCCGTGGCATCGAGGATTGCAGCGGGGGAAAAACACTCGAGTGGAGGGTAAGAGTCCCGCAGCTCTTGAAGCAGCGGGGAAACACTCAAGTAGCAGGTAGGCCGGTACCACACCCTGAAGCGGTAGATGTGCCGGGTACTGGAGGCCGAGCAGAAGAAGACAAAAGTGGCATTTTTAGAGGCCCAGTAGTTGTAGGCTAGGTCTAGGCGGTACCAGTCTGAGTCTAGGGCCTGTACGTGCAATATCAGAGTCTGCAATGATGTTTCCCTCCGAAAGGGAGGAGGTACCAGTTGCTTGGAAGGCCGAGTGGCCTGGAAGTCACCGCCCAAGAGGCAAGCAGGCCGCCACATCTCCAGGCCGCGCGAAGAGGCCAGCCTCATTGTCGGTGTGCAAGTTTGGCGACACACTGGCTGGAGCGCTGGCCGGAGCAGTGCTAGCTTGGAGCAGCACTGCTGGGGAAGAAGCAAGGACGCGGAGGAGGACGAAGGACAGGAATGGGGAGGAGCGCCAGAGGTACTTACCTGGCTATGGTGGCAGCCATCTTCATCACCTTGGTGGGCACTGCGGCAGGAAGGCCCCAGCTGGGGTTGAGCTACACCAAGAAGCTTTGAGGCAGAGTCAGGCATGGCGGCCTGAGCTAGAGCAGCCATAGCTGCTTTGGATTGTCCTTCGGACATCTGGACAAGGCCTAGTAGTCCGAGTCAGGCATGGCGGCCTGAGCTAGAGCAGCCATAGCTGCTTTGGGTTGTCCTTTGGACATCTAGGCAAGGCCTAGTAGTCCGCCATAGCCTCGGCCTATGAGAGTGAAGAGTGGGAGAGGCGGCCATGGCTATGGTGGACCTCAAGTGATACCTGCAGTAGAAGAGGGATTCGGACTTCGATTCTGGTTCAGCTATTCAACATTGTATTATTCTTTCTTTCGTGAATAAGAGAGGAGGAGATAAAGAGGAAGAGAGGGTTGAGCGAAGAAGAAGAGCTTTATCATTTGTCTATGCTGGTGTACATCATCTTCTTCTTCTTTCGTACTTCTTCTTCTAACCTTCTCTCTCCTCTCAAGTTCATTCATTTCTTTCTGGAATTGGACAGCATTGTACTATCTGATGAATGTGTATCTTGAAATTGGCCACGATCATAACATGAATGTCTACACAACATACTTATTTTCCAGAAATCTTTATTTGAGATAAATGTTTTTGATTTTGCAATGAACCTCCTAGTTCAACACCAGTGAGCGCACATATTCACACCACATGCATGCATGAGATCGCACGATGTTCACACTGGATACCAGAGAGATGAAGACCAGGGAGCGCAGCTTATGAATTCCAACAAGTACTTACAAGAGCAATAAGAGTTCAAGTCACCAGCGCTCATCAGTGCATACGAAAGGTAACCAGTAACCAGCATAAGCTTTCACGTAAGTATCTCTTCCCCACTGCTCTTCTCTCTTATGATCTCTTCTCCTCGCTGGTCTTCTCCCTAGCTATGTCCTCACTGTCTTCTCTCCCTACATGCGTGCACACTCACTAACTTCTACTCAAGGATCTACTCTGAATATACCCACTGATATGCCTACTAACTCTCTGCACTGGCGCAGCTATGGCTGCCTTCTCCCTGCCAGCGCTATCTCTTCCTCTCTCTCCCTCTCTCCCTCTCTCTCTCTCTCTCTCTGCTAGCGCAGCACTCTGGCTTCAGCGCTCTGCCCCTCACAATAGCGCACAAGTGCACCAGCACTTCCACACTTCATGAGAATGAACTCTCTGCCCGAATGGGAGGCTGGCCAGTCCTTGGTCTGCTGAATAGGGCTGAGCAAATAGACAAGGTGTGACGAACCACTTCCCGACCCCGTGCCATCTTTCGTACCCTTTCTCTTGCTTGTATCATACCAACCCCAGGAAAGGCCCGTTTTGATTGATTGATTGATTGATTGATTGAACAGGGGGTCTGCTGAATAGGGCGTCGCGCAACTTCCATATGTGTGTGTGTGTGTGTGTGTGTGTGTGTGTGTGTCTTCCTGGGGTGTGTGTGTGTGTGTGTGTGTGTGTGTCTTCCTGGGGCCTGACTGGGTTCTGGTACCACATCCCCACGGCCTGTCTGCTTTCGAATGTCAAGGCCTGGAACCTTCCCGAATTTCCATTGGTCTGCTGCTGCTTGGACCTTTGAGTCATGGCTTTTCGATTTTGGCATTTGGTTTTGACTGTGAACTGTGACTCCTGCTTCTGGGACACGACTCTTGCCTGCGGAACCGCCCTTTTACTCGTGGGACGTGACTCTTTAATATGACTTTTCATTATGAAACGTGATTCTTGCCCCTAAGATGTGACTGTTTGCTGGGTGCCCGTTGGACTGGACTGCTGAGGTACCCGACTGTGACTTTTCTGAATTTGACTAACTCGGCCTTTCTTGGCCAGACCCTCTGACCCTGAGATCCGAATTTCAATTTTGTGAGGGAGCTGTTTCGTGACTTGGCTGGTACCTTACCCAGGACCTTGCATCATAGTGCACAGACTTTGTACTCCGGCCAGCCAGAGTGAGCCCAGGCACTTGGCCTGGTTTCCTAGACAGTGAAGACACCAAACAATTAAAATTGACATCAACATGCAAAACTCGAAAATGGAGAAATCATAGTCACTGACTTTGTACTCACAGTTTTTCTAAGGAGCGAATGGGTTGCAAGGGAGATGAAAGTGAAATGCTGATGTTCAACGATGACATATTCCTGTTCCAGATCCACATGGCAAAAGAAACCAAAACATGGGAGTCCACCGTGACAAGACAAAGCACACGAGTACGCCAGAATAAAACAAAACATGAAAAAGTTGATCAGAACCAACCAAAACATACGCCCCATCACATGTGGCTGTATGGTACATGCACGAGAATGTTAATCAAGAGGTCACGAGTTTCAAATACTGACGAGCAGATGCATCCAGAAAGGTGTGGTGCTACCCCCTTACACCACCAGCACCTCTCCCAGGCAAGCTTTTGTGATGAATTTGTCCAAGATGGGATTTTCAGATGGGCAGTGCAACCAGACCAAACTGGCTGGCAGTGCCAGCCCAAAAAAAAAAACGAAAACGCACCTGTGGTGGTTCCTTTTTCTAAGTGCACAGCTGGGCTGCCAGCTGGGCCCCTTGGGTTGCCTCAGACTGGCCTAGGTGGCCAGGGTGGGCCACGTCTGGGTCAAGTCCAGTTCAGGGTCCTGGACAACACAAGCACACAGACACAGAAAAGTCTGGAAAAAAACTCTGTGATGAAGATTTGAGCGTCATTATGAGATTTGAAATAAAATATAAAATGCGAGGATTAGGCCCCTCGCGAGACCTTTCAGGCCCGGATGGCCAATGAGAGATTGGCCTCCAGTAAGCCTCATGCCGGGCCTACATGAAGGTGGGCCTGCATTTCAACATGAGGCCTTGTTTTTGGCGTTTCTGCATATGGGGGCCAGACAGTTGCCATGCGCCAGTTGGTTACAAGGCCCACATCTATGGGATCATGACATTGTGACCCTCTGGGCTCACGCGGGCAGCTGCGTGGCCAGAGTCCTATCGGCCAATGGAATCGCAGCGAGCGAGTGATGCTGGCCACAGTCTGCATTGGGCCTGGGCACAAATATTGGGGCCCGACCAGAAGCTACTAGAAACACGGTCGTCAGGCCCCAGGCATGCCAAGGCTGGGCGCACTTTCCATATAGGAAAGTGCTTTCCTTGCAGCAGATCATTCTGGCCTGGGAGCTCTGTGCGGCTGGATCATAGCGCTGAGAGGCCGCTGCGCAGTTGCGCTACCCCACCCCCCGATCGGTCATCAAAATGCACATCGGCTCAATTGGTGACAGACAAATCTGTGGTTGGGGGCAGCTACCTCCAGCTATGTTGTTCCTAACCTTATCTTCCCGTCTTGATCTCGTCTTACCATGAGATGGAGAGTCCGGCTTGGGAGTCCTCTTGTGGTCAGGAGTCGTGTGTGCTCTACCTTAAGAGTCGACATTCTTCCTGGTGGCGCATCTGGTGGGAGAGGGCGGTGCCTCTGAAGGGCTCTGGACGAAGCACGGGTCACGGTCACCATGTCAACCCATGGGAGTAGAGCATGCATGCTTTGCTGCATTGTCCTTTGAACTCTTGCTGCACATAGAGGGGGTGTTGGGCAGGCCAGCCTTATGGGGGATCAACGAGTACCGGACGGTCCTTAAAGATACTCCGGCGGGGAAACTGACTCGCACTGTACGCGAGGATAACAATAGTACGGACAGGGTTGGCTTGTTCTTAATCACCTGGGCATAAGGGTGGGCCGCTGTGCACACCATAGACACCGCTGCTTGATTGATGCAGCCAGGACGTCGGATACAAGTTCCAATTGGTGTTATTTCCATTTTGCATTCATCTGTGTAAGTGATTTACTTTTATTTTGACTAGTTGAGGTGTTTACGGACTGCTAACACCTGACAGACAGAGATAGAATAGAACTGTAACAGTC